CACACACACACACACACACACACACACACACACACACACACACACACACACACACACACACACACACACACACACACACACACACACACACACACACACACACACATTAATTCCCAGTATGACTATGCCTTATTGATGGAGAGACAGGGCTGCATATCTAATGGCGTTAGCGAGAGAGAGTAAAGAGGCTGCTGGGTATGATCCATTTATATGCATGCTAATAACAGAGCGCATTGGGCCTGGGACGAGCAAGAAAATCTCTCTATAATCGACCATCCATCATTAAGATGCGACTACGGCCAGACACAGCGCATCATTACTCTACACACGCACACACTCACACACACACACACACAAACACACACATACGTACACAGCCCAAACTATTTATCTGCAATTGTTCATTTTCTTTCATCACCTCTCCACATACTGTGTATTTGTCTAAATCAGTGGAACTAGTGAAAGTCAGCAAACTTTAACGATGGCACAGCTCTGGTCAAAAGGGCCTTTGTAAGCGGGACCTCTCTACAAATAATGAAGCTTGTAGCAAAAAGTTCGCTCCCCTCTGTAAAAATGGTGACCCCAAACTACACACACGCACCCATTTGTCCACAAACATATGGATTATGAGATCACTGAGGGAGCAGTGAATTCCGCCACACAGTAAATGTCATCCGTGTGTTCTGAGCGAGGGTGGCCGCAGGACTCCTGCAGTGGTTTGGGGTTCAGGGTTGAGGTTAGGCTAGCTGGTCTCCAGTGGCTCAATGTCAAACCTCAGCTCTCACAGCCTCTCCGCTCTCAGAGGAGGAGGTTGGTAGCAGGATTTGGCTATTCGCCCAAGGAGTTTGAAGACTGAGGGGCCCTTCCGTTCTTGGAATGCCACATTTTTTTAATACCGCCCTGTACACCGCACCCACCAGAACAGAGAGAAACGTGGGATAAAATGAGCATATTTGGAGTGTGATTTCATCCATTTTTTGGAGCCATAACTGGCCTCCTTGTTTTTTTTTACACTGCAACGAGGGCACTTCTTTCTGGAGATGATCACCCTACATTTTTGTTTTTCCTATCACAGATACATTATTCTGCCAAGCACTATTTGAGGTATCTTCTTTAGATTTTTCAGAAATATTCTGTCTATGTCTAAACATTATTGGACTACTATTATTGGACTACATTATTGGACTAAGCTGATTAACTTAGCAATTCTGAACTTTCTTATCACCTTAGATCTTGAGTCAAAACGTAATTTGAAATAACCAGATTTTAGGTTTTGAAAAAGTGTCCAGATGGTGTGCTGTTTTAAATTCAAACATTACACGATCACAATTCTCTACATTACACAATGTTTTTGCATTGTAAATCCTCAGACTAAAAAGAACTCCTAACACTCCTGTACACATTTACATCAACTCCACACTCATACATGCATCATTAAAACATGCACACAGACACACAACTTGCTCACACTCACTCTCACTAAGACGTACATATGGCAGACCGTGAGCAGGCGAGTTGGGCAGCTGGCTGGTATTAAATTGGATCCCTGGGTTCCCCACTGTTCAATGGGACTTAAAGCCATATTAAAGGCATCTCCTACAGTCCGGCACCAGTGGGAGTGCATGGACAGTGGCCAAGGAAAGCAGCCCGGTGCCAGCCACACCCCTGGAGAACTGCATCTGCTCTCACTCTACACCGTGGCCTCTTTATGTTGAGCAAGACATATCGTCCCCTGCGTCCATATGCCGTTGGTACCAGACTACATGTGCTTTAACATGAGACCATGGCGCTGACGTTGGTAATACACTTAGATAAATACACCTCTAAATATGCGGTTTTATGTGACTTTGTGTATGAGTGATAGACTGACATGGGAGATAGTGTGTGTTTATGCATGCAGAGGCCAACTTTTCATGCAATTTATGGGTTAGCATATAAATGCTCAAATCACGACTGCTGAGAGTTGAGTCCACATTTGGTGATCCACTCCCTTCCTTTAGGATTTATGTTGAGCATTATTTACTCTGCTGCAGCTCTGTTAGGACAGGGGAGTGTGTTTGTGCTTCCAGTGGCTGCTGAAGACCGGCCACTCAGTGTTGTGTAGATTGCGTGGGCAGATGCTACTTTACGCGCCAAGCTCATTTTTATCGCCGGATTGTACTATACACCAGTGACATAAAGCCAGTGGTGCAGTCATGCCTGAAGAAAAGTGAGAAGGAGTGCTTGTGGAATCATTTCCCTTTGTATCTAACACATAATTGAACCGGTCTCATCTACTGCCAAAACAAAAACAGAGGTGATCTAAAAGAACGTTCTGTGAAAGAGTGAGTATCGCTCCACACGAGGGCAGTCATCCAGAAGGGGAAAAAGAGTTTCTGGGTGTTCTCTGTGCCTGACCAGAATCAACATGCAAAGGTGTAAATCTACAATAGCAGCTGAAGAAAAGCTGTCTCTCAAACTGCCACTTTAGCGCTGGCCCTGGGAGAAGGGGAAGGATAATGGGAGTCGTCTAATAAGTTTGTTTGGCTTGTTAGTGTGATGGTTTTCTCACAAAGCTAATTAACGGTCTTGGCCTTAGGGACCATATTCCGTCCTATATCCCACTATCACCACCTATCCACACACACCAACACATACACATTCATCTGTCCTTCTCCAGCTTGCTCACCGCCTGAGCCCCCCACTCTCTCACCCTCACTAGCAGCAGCTCTCTGTCGCTCCGTCTTTGGTTCCTGTCATGTTTAAATTGATGGAGGGTCTAGAGATTGTCTGTATGGTCCCAAGGTGCCTTTCCCCACTACACAGGCATCCTCCGGATTCTTCCTGGTCCACAGTTGATTACGATGAATCAATCTGAGGGGTCAAACACTTGGACTGGGGCACTGACATCCCCAGTGGCTGTCGGGGTAAGCCGGCACGGGATAAGAGGGCGTTTCCAGGAACCCCTGTGACCCCATAGACCACTCTCGTTTCCGTGGTGAGACCTTCATTAGGGGACAAATCTGTCCCTGTAGTTATAAAAAGAAAAAATAGGGGGAAGAGAAAAGTGGGGGATGCTCTTGTTCTTCATCTCATCCCTCTCTTTTACCTCTGGTGCCCTTATTTCCCCGTCTAGCAGAGCTGGAAACTGACAGGTAACGGCAGAGCGGAGCAATAACGCCGTCCCCCTGGCTTGTACAGCAAATAATGCCGGAGATTTAATCAATGGCCGAGAGGAAAAGCAGGGCCAAATCAATAGAAGCCTTGCTGTTTGCTCCCCTGCTTTGAAGGTGAATCCGGGCCTCGCTACATAAATTGGACTAATTGAAGAGCATGCTAGGAAACAAGCCCCGTACAAAGCATATCTGTGTCAGCATGATACTTGTATGTGAAACTCATCAACCCAGAAGTGCAGAGGTGGAGATAATAAGCCACCATAAGTCTGGAGAGAAAAGTAGAAGGGATAAACATAATATTAGCTTGTGTTTGGGCTGATTAAATCCATCCACACTCATTTAGGTGATAAGCGTGGGTGTGCTGCGGCATCAACAGCAATACCACTTGGTCTGAGGCGTAGAATTACAGCTCACATTTTATAAAAGGATGTTTCCTATCAAGTACGTTCTTCCTCATTTATCTATCACAGAGGAGCATCAGTGACATATGATTTCACACTGTACGATGCGTGCAAGTGTTAAAAGGTCCCCATGCATGCATAGCTGAGGACATTAATCCAGTGACAGTGATTCATCTCATCAGCAGAAACGACAAATTAAAAACACTCACCCATGAGACACTTGTTGTTCAATAAATTGGGCTTATTTTCTGCGGGAAAATGGTACATTCTCAACACAAAACAATCAATCAAAAGGCGCGTTCACACCAAGTACTTTTCCCACAAAGGTTCCTGAGAACTACGATTTAGTTGCGTTCACACCAAAAAGTCCCAGGAACTAAATTAGTTCTAGAGAACCTTTTTTACCCCCTTTTCAGTCCCTGTTACTTTCGTGGGAGAAAAAGGTTCCTGTGTCTGATTGGCTGGGCGGAATGCAAACCACGCCCCGTCAAACTCCCAAAAACCTTTGTGAAGCCGCCATTTTATTATCCTCGCGTTGCATTATTAGCATTAGCATTAGTCTAGCCCAGCGCAGAAACGCAGAGAGACTAACTTATGACAACACAAAATAAAACATGGGAGCG